TGGCATATTTGAGATGGGACGATAGTTAAGTACCGTAGCATCCAGACTGCTCTTTTTTAGCAGGGGCCTGATGACTGCAGTTTTCAGGGCCTTTGGGAATATTCCAGAATTAAGGGACATGTTTACTATCTGTGTGATTGAAGATAACAGACTGCTCAGAACAGACTTCAGAAATCTAGTGGGTAGTACATCCAAGCTGCATGTGGAGGAGCTCAAACTGGATATTATCTCTTGGACAGTTTTATCATTTACAGGTGCAAAGTGAGTTAGCTCAAAGAGCCTTTCTGGCTGTTGGATGGTTATCTGTGGATTGGAGACAATGGCGTATTTGATGCCTTGAACCTTGTCATTGAAAAAATTAGCAAACTCATTGCATTTACGTTTGGAAGTAAGCTCTAATGGCATTTGAACAGGGGGGTTTGTTAATCTATTAACTGTTGAGAACAGAACACGCAGATTGTTGTTGCAGCCTTCAATCATTTCAGAAAAATACCTTTCTCTCGTACTACGTAGCACCCGGTTAAACTCGCACAACTTATCTTTGAAGATCTCGTAATCAACCTGGAGGTTGGACTTGCGCCACTTCCGCTCGGCCCTCCGGCACTTTCTCTTTTGTGCCCTGACCGAGTCTGCTTTAGCCCACGGCGCCTTCTGCTTATTTTTCACTATTTTAACCTTCACAGGGGCAACGGTATCCAGAACATTCAAAACACTAGAGGTGACAGAGTTAAACAGTTTATCTACAGTAGAATACAATGCATTCTCGAAGTTTATCATTCCCATAAATAGTTCTCGTATTTTCATTTATGCACCTTCTTCGAACAGTTGCAGAGTCCACTGGTGGTTTGTTAGTGAAACACATGTCAAAAAAAACACAGAAATGATCCGAAAGAGCAACATCGGCCACGTTTACATTTGAAATATTCACCCCCTTAGTAACTAACAGATCTAGAGTGTGCCCTCTGCTGTGGGTGGGGCCACTTACGTGCTGAGTGAGATCAAAGGATTCAAGTACAGAACTCAGCTCATTTGCATTTCTATCATCAACATTATCCACATGAATATTAAAATCACCTGTAATAACCAAACTATCAAAATCTGTGTATACAACTGAAAGCAACTCGGTAAAATTATCAATAAAACTGTGACATGACTGCGGTGGCTTGTATAGGACAATGAAGAGTATTGGAGGAGATTGTTTTTGTTTTATTTTAAAAGACACATATTCAAATGACAAAAACTTCCCAAGAGACATTCTATGGGAGACAAAGTGGTCTCTAAAAATGGCAGCTAAGCCTCCTCCTTTTTTGTTTTCCTGTATCACAGATTCAAATTTGAAATTTGGTGGTGATGCTTCTATTACAACTGCATTTCCTGAGTTTTGGTCAAGCCAAGTTTCAGCCATGAACATAAGATCAAGATTATGAGAACAAATAAAATTATTGATTAAAAAAGACTCAGTGGTCGGCTGATTCTTACACGGAACAAGAATTAGATTTTCCAGATTAGACTGATTAACTCCAGATGTCTTTTTGTAATGTATTCTTTGTGTTATCACTAAGGGAATGGCACAGGTGGCTTCATGACAGGGCCCCAGCCGGGTCTCTCCTCTAACTAGACTGCCAGTGGCTGCGAAGTAGGGACCCTGTGCATCCTAGTGTTTAGAGAAAAGAGAGGAAGGGGAAGGCGGGGGAGGAGGATGGAGAGGTGGGTGGCTTTTGGGTGTTGAACGAGGGGTGCAGGGAGGTGGAGGGGTTTTTGGTGATGGGTTAGGGCCGGGGTGGGCTGAGGCAGAGGTTTTGGATGTTGAACGAGGGGGAAGTGGGGGTGGAATGGTCATGAGGTTAGGGGAGGGACTGGCTGAGGTGGTTTTTGTAGGTGAATTGGAAACCCTAGGTGGTTTTGAAGGTACATATGGGGAGTGGTTTAGAATATTGGACAGGACTCTAGATCTAGCTAATATGGGTGTGAGAGGAATAGTCTTCATCGCCGATTTTATTAGCCCTGCAGAGTGTTCAAGTAGGTCTAACAGTGAAGGCGGGGATGAAAAACAAAGGGACGTGTCCCCATTCTCTCTTGATGGAGTGGACGTGGCAGGGGGGACCCAAGACAGGTCTATGGGAGGTGGCGAGGGAGTCTTTGATGGAGGGGCAGGTGGTTGAGGAAACCCCAGCACAGGCCTGTCTGCTATAGGCTGGGGTGAGGATGGGGGCTTCAGAGGCATAGGTGAAGAAGGCGTGGCTGCTGCTTTGGAGCAGGCTGGGGATGAGGATGTTGGTGGTGGTGGTCGTGCTGCTGGTGCTGCTACTGGTGATGATGCAGCTGCTTCTGATGACAGTGGAGGTGTTGAGATCCTTTGAGGCAGTGATGGTGTTGAGATCCTTCGAGGTGGTGGTGGTGTTGAGATCCTTCGAGGTGGTGGTGGTGTTGAGATCCTTCGAGGTGATGGAGGTGTTGAGATCCTTCGAGGTGGTGCAGGTGTTGAGATCCTTCGAGGTGGTGGAGGTGCAGAGACTTTTAGAGTCGGCTTCCTCCCTTTCGATGGCTGCACGCGCTGCGCAGGCTGAGCTCTCAGGGCAAAAGAAAGGTAATCCATCAACACTTTTACTCCGTAAGTGTTCAGATGTGGCCCTTTCCCTTCAAAAAGCTCATGCCTATTCCAGAACAGATCAAAATTCTCAATGAAGGCAAGTCCTCTGCGTGAACATTCGTTGAGTAGGAAAGTATTTAGCTGATACAGACGACTGAATTTCATTTGCTTCCCGTCCACATTTGGTGGTGGGCCACTGATAACGATTGTTACGTTCATTTTAGCAAGGTGGTCCAATAAGAGAGAATAATCCCGTTTCAACTTTTCACTTGTGTCGTCATAGACGTCTACTGCCCCCACGTGGATCAACAATCTTTTTACCCCGCCGGTCTCAGACAGAAGCCTCGGAGCCAACAGCCTTATCTCATCCACTTTGGCAGAGTGTACTGAGTGAACCTTGAGATTACGCATATTTACATGTCTTATCGCAGAAGCCCTGATAAAGAGCGACTCAGCTGCATTTGACCTTGACTGAGACTGAGAATGAGACTGAGAGGCTACTGCTGATTCATCTTCCAAAAGTGGTTTCTTGTAATTAAAGATTTTTGCTGTGGCATTATGGCACTCTTGTTATCATTAGCTTTGCCTTGTTTGGGCTTGGCACCATATGTCCAACAATTGTCTCTGTTGATTTTGGGAAATGAAATAGCGTCATCATAACTTACGTTCTGTCCATTTGGTCCATTTCCTTTCACTGGTATTGTTGTGTTCAGCCCCAATTCTGATTCAAGCACAAACACTCGGTCTTGAAGAAGTTTTAGCTCCTGTTTGAGTGAAAAACAGCCGTCGCAAAGTTTTGTTCTTTTTTCCCGTCCTCCCGACATGCTGTAAGTTAGGTAAATTCCACAAGTCTTGTGTTGAAGTTTGTATAAAGGAGTAATCCGTGTTTTGTGGAATAAAAATGTAAGCAAAAATTATTAAAGGAGATAAAAAAGCAGCAAGCGAGGACACAGGTTTGTTTTGATTCAGAGCCGGAGTAGCGGAGGAGGGGGCCGTTTCCCCTGACAACGGCAGCAAGATAGAGCGGCGCACACACACAGGCAGAAAGATACAGAAGAAGAACTTTTTTAAGCTAATATAACTGATGTTGTAGTTTATACTTTAGTCATCCAAGTCTAGAATTGATCACTTTCCACACTTGTAACAAAAGGCACTCTTAGTGTTTAACGTTTCCCTTTTTATGTTTATTTATATTTTATACCATGGTTCACAAACTTTTCTGGCTGTAACTGCTATTTTATCGAGGTAGCGACCAGTTTTGATCATTTAAACTGCTATTTTATCGAGGTAGAGGACCTGATGATCATTTAAACTGCTATTTTATAGAGGTAGCAACCCTGAATCTTACCTAATCCGATCTATTTAGATATACGACATTTGGTGGACCTCAAAACAGATCATAATTTAGTTCACTCAATTAGCAGACTTTGAATTAACAGGTGTCCGCTCTTACCTTTTGTCGAACAGGGCCCAGGCACCATCAGAAGTCCACCAAATATCAGCTTTTCCACGTCCAACCGGGGTCTCCAGATCATGAACCAACGCTCACTAGTACCGGCAACTAGTTTCCATCGGCAGAGACCAATCACACGTCAGAAATCCCCGGAATTTCTGACGTCTCTCCAGCCTGCTGGACCGCTCCCAGGCCCCCAATACTCTCAGCTCTCTCACGCCGAGAAAAAGAAAACAAAGGAAACTCCCTCAAAACAATCCAGAGAATGGCGCACACTGAGCCGCGCATCCTCCACCAAATCTGTTAGGAATGAAGCAGACAGAGACGGATCGTGGTGCGCCAAACTCTGGAAGTTTATTTAAATTTCTCTCAAGTTCCAGTGGTTTCCATTATTTCTTTCTCTCAGACAGAATAAAGGCAGTACACAGTTTATATAGTCATTGTCACGTCACACATCGAAAGACATACGTGTCACACAGAGACAGTGCACATCATAGTCAAAACATGGAGTCATCATCAGAGTCCTTGTAGAGTCCTGCACGTAGGCCATATTGCTATCTAATACTAACAAAACCTTAAAAAGTTCTCTGGCTACATCATCATTTTATTTCAAATCCAGAACCCCGTCACAATATGAAAATCAACTTGTATTTTAAAAAGATAATGATTTCATAATTTTACATACATATAAATAGTAGAACAAATTAATTGATTAACACAGTGAAATAACAGAATTCATATTAATCTCAGGGTTGGCTCTCTAACTTTCAAGTTTAACAACCAAAGTAAAAGTTCAAAAATATATCTCAAAGTGACCTGGTTTCAATGAATACACAACACATACCTTTGACTCATACTAATATAAATAGAACAGAATCACAAATACATATGTACTTCAGTTACAACAGAAGAATCAGGAGGAGTCCCAGGAGAGAATGGAGCAAAGTCATTCTCACATCAGACACAGCAGAGGAGGCTGCAGTAGTTGTAGTTGTTGCTGGTGCTGTAGTTGTAGTCGTTGCTGGTGCTGTAGTTGTTGCTGGTGCTGTAGTTGTAGTCGTTGCTGGTGCAGTAGTTGTAGTTGTTGCTGGTGCTGTAGTTGTTGCTGGTGCTGTAGTTGTTGCTGGTGCTGGTGCAGTAGTTATAGTTGTTGCTGGTGCTGTAGTTGTAGTCGTTGCTGGTGCTGTAGTTGTTGCTGGTGCTGTAGTTGTAGTCGTTGCTGGTGCTGTAGTTGTTGCTGGTGCTGTAGTTGTAGTCGTTGCTGGTGCTGTAGTTGTTGCTGATGCTGTAGTTGTAGTCGTTGCTGGTGCTGTAGTTGTTGCTGGTGCTGGTGCTGTAGTCGTTGCTGGTGCTGTAGTTGTTGCTGGTGCAGTAGTTATAGTTGTTGCTGGTGCTGTAGTTGTTGCTGGTGCTGTAGTTGTTGCTGGTGCTGTAGTTGTAGTCGTTGCTGGTGCTGTAGTTGTTGCTGGTGCTGTAGTTGTTGCTGGTGCTGGTGCTGTAGTCGTTGCTGGTGCTGTAGTTGTTGCTGGTGCAGTAGTTGTAGTCGTTGCTGGTGCTGTAGTTGTTGCTGGTGCTGTAGTTGTTACTGGTGCTGTAGTTGTAGTTTTTGCTGGTGCAGTAGTTGTAGTCGTTGCTGGTGCAGTAGTTGTAGTTGTTGCTGGTGCTGTAGTTGTAGTCGTTGCTGGTGCAGTAGTTGTAGTTGTTGCTGGTGCTGTAGTTATAGCTGGTGCTGTAGTTGTAGTCGTTGCTGGTGCTGTAGTTGTTGCTGGTGCTGTAGTTGTTGCTGGTGCAGTAGTTGTAGTCGTTGCTGGTGCAGTAGTTGTTGCTGGTGCTGTAGTTGTTGCTGGTGCTGTAGTTGTAGTCGTTGCTGGTGCAGTAGTTGTAGTTGTTGCTGGTGCAGTAGTTGTAGTCGTTGCTGGTGCAGTAGTTGTAGTCGTTGCTGTAGTTGTAGTCGTTGCTGGTGCTGTAGTTGTTGCTGGTGCTGTAGTTGTTGCTGGTGCTGTAGTTGTAGTCGTTGCTGGTGCAGTAGTTGTAGTTGTTGCTGGTGCAGTAGTTGTAGTCGTTGCTGGTGCAGTAGTTGTAGTCGTTGCTGGTGCTGTAGTTGTAGCAGTTGCTGGTGCTGTAGTTGTAGTCGTTGCTGGTGCTGTAGTTGTAGTCGTTGCTGGTGCTGTAGTTGTAGTCGTTGCTGGTGCAGTAGTTGTATTCGTTGCTGGTGCAGTAGTTGTAGTCGTTGCTGGTGTAGTAGTTGTATTCGTTGCTGGTGCAGTAGTTGTAGTAGTTGCTATGAGAGAAAACACCGGATGAAAGTAATTAGTAATTATAGATCTACCATTACAAAATACTGGTATCAGTAGCAAGGCAAAGCAAGTTTATCTGTATAGCACTGTCCATACACAAGGCAACTCAAAGTGAGTAACGAAGATAGAAACAAAGTTGTGTTCATGTGACATTCCCAAGAGACTAAAGTTTAAAATTTTGCTCAAGGTGGTGAGACATATTTCTTGGTAACTATGGCAACTGTCAAAAGTCAGAATCTACCACCAACCAAACCAACCTATACAAAAGAAGATGGGAAAATAGCAGATATTGAAAGACAAAGTATGGAGCTCCTGAAAAAAGCTGGATCAGTTCTGTGCACTATAAGATCATTAGTATGTCACATGTTTAAAAAGCACAGCCCCCTGTGGCTGGAGGTCTAAATGCCATGTTTTGCAGGAGCACATGAGGACTATACAGGGATCAAGAGTTCCGAGCTTCCGGCTCGACCGTACGGCATTGTGGGTAGACTTCTCAAAAAAGTGGGCATGAAATCACGCTCTTCTATTAGATTACCTTTTGCGAGCGTGATCTGTCTCTCTTTTTTCCAACATTTTCACCAATTTCAAACATTTAGAAGGCAAATTAAAGATTTTTTCATGTAACAAAAAAGCTATGCATTTTTTTTCTTGTGGTTTTAGATGTAAACACAACCGACTGACGATAGAGCTACATGTAGCCTATGCTACTTACGAGGATCGAATGCTTACACGAGCTTTATAAACTTACCCAAAGTACTTTGGACATAGAGCCCTCAGAGCATTTCATGAACTTATAAATAACATTTGTGATCAAAGCATTCAGAGTGGGGACATTATTAAGAAAAAACAGTGAGCTGGCAGTATAGAGAGGTGTGCAGTATAGAGAGGTGTATAGAGAGGTCTGCAGTATAGAGAGGTGTGCATAGAGAGGTGTGCAGTATAGAGAGGTGTGAAGCACAGAGAGGTGTGCAGTATAGAGAGGTGTGCAGTATAGAGAGGTGTGCAGTATAGAGAGGTCTGCAGTATAGAGAGGTGTGCAGTATAGAGAGGTGTGCAGTAGGCTTTAAACAAAGTTATTTTCACTTTCTCTGTACACATCTGAAATCTCCGTGCTTAGCTGTATAGTGCGGCTGATATTCACCTGTGTTGATGGACAGAGCCACAGCTAAGGCCAGGGACAGCAGCAGCTTGAGTGCAGTCTTCATGTCTGCAGATGTCTTCAGGCGTCTGTCTTTCTCCTGTCTAATCCACCTGTACCTGTGACTGTTCTGATGGATGCTGCTCCTTCTGACTCCTTTTAAACTGGATGTGCTTTGGGAGGGGCCATTGCTCTGACAATCATCCAGGTTCATCCACGTCACACAACAAGGAACTTGTTTTTTCATTTCTCATACCTCACTGGAACTGGCTTGGCCGTTACTATTATCCATCTGTGCTTCACAGCTTTGCCAGGATATAGTACTATGTAATATATAATTAGGTACATAAGATGAAATACATGATTATAGAGTATTAGGTCAAAATGAAGTCCACACCATGACTGTCCGTTACAGAAAATCAAATGATTTGTTGTCAACAGAAATCTTGATTTAAAGGTTATATTTTGCTGTTTTTCACAGTCCATCCTAAGCACATACAGTATGGCCAGCCCACGTGGGATTACTCCCCATTGGTAGCTTACTCCCCATTGGATGAAATCACTACTTTCAAATAAGTATAATCTCTCGGGATTGGCTAGCATATCTGTCACTATTGGTCACCCTGCCTCATAATTAATTAAATAATATTCATATAAATATATATTTATTCATATTATTTATAGAGGAAATGAAATTTTTCCAGGAATATGTTCATACAAAGAAAGCTTTATTAAAACACACACACACAGCTTTATGCTCACACATAGGTAATTAAAAAATTACAACTCTGAACTGTCCAATCGCCTCCTCTGGGTTGTAATTTGGCAGGGTTCTAGATAGACGCTTAATGTGCGTGGCTCTGTACGTCCGCGCCGCCTCTAACCAGGACTGCAGCTTGACACAGTTCAGAAAACTCCGGCTTTCGAAAAGACGGCGACCGCACAAACCACCCAGAGACACCGTCCACAACGCCTTCTTCATTGGACATTAGGTCTACCGTGGCGGACTTTCAGAGTTCCACTTTGTCACTTTCTCGCACACTCAGTCTCGATTCCACCAGCTGAAAGAATCAGTAAATATTATTAGCCACATCAAATCTTTTTTCCCATCTAAACATTGCAAGGATCAAAAACATAGTGTCTAAAGCAGACCTGGAGATTCTTATCCATGCATTTGTCTCCAGTAGGTTAGACTACTGCCACAACAGCTGCAGTACATTCAAAATGCAGCAGCTCAAGTCCTGACCAGAACCAGGAAGTACGATGGCAAGGCAAGTTTATTTGTCTAGCATAATTCATACACAAGGCAACTCGAAGTGCTGAGCAAAATAAGAAAGCATTAAAATAAATAATCACAGTACATTAAAAAAGATAAATATAAAATCCCTCAGTTGTAGCACAGCTAAACAGAACTGTTTTTAACCTGGTTTTAAACATTGTCAGAGGAGGCCTGTCTCACTTTAGCTGTGCTACAACTGAGGGAATTTATATTTATCTTTGTTAATGTACTGTGATTATTTAATGCGATCTTATTTTGTTCAGCACTTTGAGTTTCCTTGTGTATGAATTGTGCTACACAAATAAACCTCCCTTGCCTTACTGTGCGATGCAGTTTAGTCTTACCCTCTTTCTTCTCGCTCGACTCTGAGCTGAACTCTTCGCCACATCCGCCCGCAATGAGTTTTCTGGCTTGGCATATTGATGGCTCCTGCGAACCGTCTCATAATAAGTCTTACAGGCCGCTAGAAAACAATCGAAAGAGTGATATGAATAAAAATCAAACGCAAGTCACAGTAACGTCACACAAGGAAGGAGAAACAGTAAAACACTTACACACAATGTCGTCTTTATCAACATGGTGGAAATGTGGACTTATTGTTCACATTGTATTGCAGATATTGTGTTAAGCAAATAGAAGGTCACCGTCTCATTACGAGGCGAGATTAGTCTGAAAACAAAGTTTACAGTTATGATTTCAGTCCATATTCAGACATTACACCACTCATGATCTGAAAGTTCTTGAATCAAGGTAAGGACTCTGGGGTTCACATTAAGACGTTTGGTTTTGCTTTTCTCCACTTTGGTTCCCTTCTCTGGGTTGATGGAGAAAAAAACACCTGAAATATATAAAAAAAAAAATTACATTTAAAATACAAATGTGCTGCAATACAAACTGCTTAGCAAACTGCACATCACCACTGTGATGCAGAGCTAAGCAGTCAAACACAGGTCATGGGTTAAAGGAATAGGCCACCGTGTTTACATACTGACATATGTTCTTACCTTAGACTAGTTGATATGTACCCGTCTGGTCTGTGTCCGTGCGCTCTGTCATGCAAACGGAGCACAGCAGCCTCTTCCACAGACTGTATAGTAACAAATCAGCTCCCGTTAGAAGCTACCAAACTCTTCCACGTGTTCCCTATTTAAATAAAGTTACACTACCAAGTACAGTAACACAGAAATGTAACATGTCCATTTTCTCAGCTGATAAAAAGGGGCACTATATTGTGAGGCGTAATAATACAAGGAGCACAATGAGCGCTACGTCCGCGCACTAACTCCCAAGACTTCTCTCCCGCTCACGCTGCTTCTATTGACGGAAGTGAGCGGGAGAGAAGTCTTAGGAGTTAGTGCACGGACGTAGTGCTCCTCGTATTATTACTATACTTGGTAGTGTAACACGTCACGTAACTGTATTTAAATAGGGAACACATGGAGGAGTTTGGGAGCTTCTAACGGGAACTGATTTGGAACTATACAGTCTGTGGAAGAGGCTGTGTTTGTGCTCAGTTTGCATGACAGAAACGGTGGCCTATTCCTTAAAGTCCTAGCTGCTTACATGTTTCCTCCCACATTACAAAATGAACACATGTAGGATTCACTGAATACTTATGGAGGTCCTCTAACTACAGCCCATGTGTCTGAATCAAGTGTTGATCTTGTGGATCAACAATCCACACTCAGCATAAACCGGTTTGCAGATTAACAGGATTGTCCTTCAAGGAGAAACAAAACGAGTTAAATACAAGTAAAATGACATTTCACCAGGCAGAGCATTAACTCCTTAGCATCAATATAGAAATGGGTTCAAAGAATGGACAAATTAAAGAAAAAGAATAAAAGAAAGTTCTCACCACACACACAATGATGGTAGGAGTCATTGGCACTTCTCCTGCAGGCATGACATCGTCTCTCTCCTCGAAGTAGGACACAAAAGCACCCTGTCTTTTGTGTCCTCTCAAGACTTTATACTTTGTCAGATCCTCAAGGAACCTTTTACATTTGTATTTGCACACGGTGTTCATGTAGTGCAGGAGCCTTTTCCCTTTCTGATCAATACAAAACCGACAAGTAATCATCTTGGCAAACACATTCCCTTCAAACAATGCCTGTTTAGTGCAGATCTTAAACTAATCAAATGAATATCTTACCTGTATTCCAAACAGTCACACAGCCTCTCCTCAGCACGTGCTCAAGTTGCGCTCTTCTGGTTAGCACGTTTGGCTAAACACATGCCAAACGTATGGTTCTGAAAATAACCGGATATCAGCTTAGTTGTTTTATGAGGTGTTTATGCCAGAATGGCAAGATTTTGTCTACGTATGAAATGCAACACCGTAAATGCAGTCCAGTTTCATGTCACCAGCATCACACAATGGTGAAATGCTCGATGCTAACTAGCGTTAGCTCTTCTAGCTAGCCACGGCTAGGCAGCACGATACTGAAACTAGCTGCCGGACAACGAACACATTTCAGAAAAAATAAATGTCCTTCTTCTGTTCTGTATCAAGATAAATTATCTTACCCGTGTTATCGGCTTCTCGAACGAATGCTTCGCTTCTTCACCAACGCACGTGAGTGCGCTCTCTGTCCAGTGTCGTGTGAAAGTTGCACACGGCTCTGATCCAGGGACTGACGTACACAGCGTTGACTCCGCATGTGTCTAAACTCTCACGATAGCTGATTATCGGAAAATAAAACGTCTTCTACAAATCAAGGAGTCCAGTCTGAAAATAATTTACAGATTTATATTTTGCATGGAAAATTATTGTTGTTGCACGCGTAAATACACAATTAATTACTCCCCTTCCCAAAGTTACAAAAGCTTTATTTGGTTAAAAGATTAAACAGATTATTTAAATGTATTTATTTTAGTCATTTAAACTCAGAAAAGAAACACAAGAAGCACTCTACACACATGGAGAAATGTATTTAAAAAACAAACGTTGTTCTTGTTGGTGTTAATGTAGTGATGAATAATAATGAACATTTTAATTGCAGTTTCAGTCTTCTTCTTCTTCACTATATCACACATTTACTCATACATTGAGTTTGTACCAATTTTTTGTGGAATGGGTTATGATTAATGACAAACAGGAGTAATGGTTAACTAATAAGTTAATTACTTGTAAACATTAGTTTCAAGTATTTTAATTTCTTTAGTAATAGACTCTTGATGTACATTTGACTGTATTTGCTTGTTTTTTGTTTTGCAGTTTTTCTGTGTTGAAACTACAAAGAAATGTTATAATTTTAACATAAATTTTCTCTAAAAGTAACTATCTTGGATAGTAAAACTTCCAACTGAACATTACTGTTAATTAAACTGAGTTTTTCAACTTACAGTTCTTTTCAGTCACCATTTTACGGACATTTTCAGTACATTTCACTGACACTTTTTACAGTGTATGTATATGTATATATATATATATATATATATGGTGCTACTTTGAACCGAGAATATAACACATATTTTCAGTTGATTACCTTTTCTTTTAGGTATGTACATAATTCAGTTTTGATGCCTTCAGTGTGAATCTACAATGTTCATAGTCATGAAAAAAAATAAAAAATCCAAACTTTTGGTCTGTATTGTACATACATATATCCTTTGATGAGCACTTACACTTTCAACATGTCTTTTGTCCTATTGGATTTATGTAATTGATTTTGACATGACAAGCTATAATCAATCATGATCAAATATTTATCTGATGTGTGTGTGTGTGTGTGTGTGTGTGTGTGTGTGTGTGTGTGTGTGTGTGTGTGTGTGTGTGTGTGTGTGTGTGTGTGTGTGTGTGTGTGTGTGTGTGTGTGTGTGTGCGTGTTTGCGTGCGTGCGTGTGTGTGTAAACAGTTTGAGCATTTTCAAAATCCGGGTCTACAGTGTGCTGACCTGATCCATGCTGCAGACTGACTGAAAGTAGTTGTG